ATTGGTCATTTAGTACCATAGTATATACATATATACATATGTATGTATATATACACACACTGTATATAGTACATATACAGATAAAATATCTTCATAGGTAGGGCCTTTGGAGTGTACATAGAAAAAAAAGACCAATATGCTGAAAATCAAACTCAATTCAAATTCCTAACATAAAGAGAAAATAAAACTTCCTGTAAATCGTCTGCATGATTGATTGGTAAAACCTGTTCATTCTTCTTTTTTTTTTTTTTTTTTAATGGCCATAAGAATGTAGCTAGGAAATTCCACCAAACAAATGTTGCTATTACACACAGGCAAGTACCACAGAGCAAACTTCCTCCTTCAGACTGGTATGGCATTCAGTTGGCATTCAGTCCAGATGATTAAAAGGCTACTTCTCAGCACACTCTGAGACACGCACCCAATTTTAAAGGGTATTCCTTGCTCACAGTATGAGAAATGAAACAGAAGTTCATGTGCTTCACAAATGGAGAGACTAGGGATAGCTGACCACAGGATTTGGAGACAGTGTTTCTTCAAAGAGAGAAGTGAAAATTCTCAGGATGCTTCAAAAATCTTGAAAAGGATCATGGAGGGCAGGAGTCAAATTAGCACATCTCTTGGCCTCTTCAGCCCAGGTTTCTCCACTTTCAGTATAGTGCTTTGTATACAACATTAGCTTCCTGCAGATTCTTGAAAGAGAGATTCTGCTTGTTTCTGCAAATAAATTTGTGATCCTGGATGCCTGCAGATTCTTGATTCTCCAGCTTATGTAAGTGGAAGCTTGATCATTCTAACCCATAAATCAGAAGCCTGAAGTGGATGGGTGCAGGCCAATAAATTATTGATAGACACTATACCTGAAGGACACACATCTCTTGAGTATAGGCATATGCTATCCAGCACTGTATAACTTCCAGTACAAGGTACTGTACTTTTTGGGCCTCTCTACTGCTGTGTGCAATATCTCATGGGAAGGGCTTCCTAAACTGCCAGCGTTATGATGTATGCAGCCATCTGTGAAACAAAATACACAGAATAAATTGGGAAAATATCTACCTAGGAAATCATCAGGCAGATAGGAAGGAGAAGCTGGCAACAAGATAGGAGAAGAGATGCATCTTGCCCCAAGCCATGTAGCTCGGTTTAAGGGTTACCCTTACAAGGTCTTTTGTTCTCTGACAGCTGCCTAGTGAAGAAACCACTGAAACAGGCCTGTTCAAAAGTGCAAATTCAGTACCCTGGCCTCAGCTTTGAGAAATCTGCAGATTTGATCCTCAGATTTCTGGAATATGCCAGAACAGAGTTCTGTACTCATACCAGAGAAAAGCACCGTGTCAAACATGTTCTGGGACAAATGACACTTCCCACAGAGGAGTACTGATCTCCGAAATAAATATTTCTTCAAGGTAGATGAACAGTTGGGTGCCCCTTGTATCCTTTACAGTAAGTCATCCTGATGAATCTCAAGATTTAACAATATCTAGGCTTTTCTGCAATAAGATGAATATCACACACTTTTTATCCCTAAAGCTGCAATGACTTCACTATGTAAAGGGCAGAAGATTTTTTGATTCACTGCTATCATTGCCACCACTTAAAATAATTCCTCATGCACACCCGTGCTTAAAGGAGATGCCTGCAAGCTGCCTCAGTCAGGACAAGATTCCTGTTGCCACTCCAGGGCTACAGAAATCCCACCAGAAACCAATTCTGGAAGGAGGGCACAGGCTGTAACCAGCCTGCTACAGTGTCTTGAGGTAGCCAAGGAAATCCAGAGTGGAGTGAAGAAATTACCTCTATCTTCCTTTAAAGAGATGCAAGTATGAAGATGTGTATCATATGTTTATTGTGATTCAGAGCTTGGATTCAACAGACAATCAGAGTTAAGTGGCAATAAGATCTAGCAAATGATTCTCATAAGACATTTAGCCTCAAAGAGAGCATGTTTTTATCTCTTATGAACTATCTTTGAGTGTGTTGATACCAAAGTCTTCAGATGGGCTCTGTAGGGTGCCATCTCTGATACAGGACCAAATCCAAAGTAATATATTTAGAACTTTGGATTTTATTCTGACTCATATGAATTCTGAACGCTTTTGATTTGCAGGGCGGCATCTCAGCTGCCCTTGTCTTGGTTATAGCACAGCAGGTTCACAGTGATGTATCTCATATCTCACAGCTGCAGCAGTGAGTTCAGTAACCTTTGCATTACTGGACCGTAGCACTGAGGGTGATGGAAGGCCAACTCCTGGTGTCTGGCAGAAACTCAAGAGCTTTTAAACTACACATTATCAGAGCAACAAAGAAGGGCCTGTGCTGGGTTGAGTCATTTCATTTTCAATTTGCTGCAAAAGCGATCAGGCAAGCCAGAAGGCGGTGTAAAATACACTGACCTGTCAACCGAACAGAAGGAAGCAACTTCAAATGGGCCCAATTAAAAAACCAACAGCAACAGAATCTCACACTAGAAAATACAGGCAAAATGATCTGGCTCTTTTCTTTGCTCATTGTATATACATTTAAGCAGCAGACCTTGGCATATGGCCAGAGTCCTGACTTGGCTGGTGAAGTGGAAAGGCAAATGTTAACTGCTCAGCCAAGTCAGCACCACTGGATTTTTATAAGCTGGCTCAGATTGCTTTAGTGCTCTCCTGTGGCACAGGCTGTGGGAGTGCTTCATTACTGGGTGCACTGCAGGCACTGTTCTGCAATCCCTGAATGCAGTGGGAATGGTGAGAAAAAGGCATTGAAAGAAACCTAAATGAAGAGCACCACAAACCTGTTACTGTTCCTTCTCATCGTGATGGAATTAACTAGATTTACACTTTTAGAGGCAAAAGGGACCTCCATGGCCTTCTGCCTTCTGGCAACTTTTACACCAGTGCCTCTGAGAGCTGGGATCCTCAAAATTTGGAAGTGTAAATCTCATCAGCAAGAACCATCTGGGAGAATGTTTTTTACATGTCATCAGGCTAACTTTTATTCTCAGTGCTAAAGTAATTCCTGAGAAGAAATTCATAACTCAATGGCTGATGAGGACCAAGCATCCAGGGGAAGAGGAATAGGATCTGGCAAAAGAATATGCTTAGGAGAGTATCTTCAACTGTGTCAGGAGTCAGGTATTTTTAGTATGAAAAACTTGGCATCCTGAAATTTCATATTAAACATCCTGTTTTATCACATTTCTCCTCCAACTTTGATTTTTCCACTTACTGCATATGCTGAAAATATTATTATTGTCATTTATAGTTATTGAAGTAACTGTGATTTCTGTGTTGAAACATAAGTAACAAAAATATATGATAGGAGTCTGATGAAGAACCCATTTCCTCCTTTAATTGAAATTAATGGAAATCAGAATTAAAAAAGAAAACAAAACAAACAAAAAAACCCCACCTGATATCTTGAAATGTGAAGCATTAATGAAGTGAGTCTTACCCACTTATTTGCAAATGACTGTGGTACATTACTCCTCCTAGCACGGTCCTGTAAAACTCATGACTCACTTTCATGATAATCATTATGCTGGTATTTCACGATCGCCTTTATTTATAATTCTGGTACCAACACTATGCTTTACAATCCAGTAATATTTGGACTGCTCTTTTGCCAAGTGAGGAGTTAAAAACACAGAGATTTGTGAAAAAAGGAGATGGAAGTAGACTGAAGTATCTGCTAGCCAAGTCATGATGTCACTCCCTTCCCTACTGAGTTTGAAGGCAGCTGCATGGTGGAAGTTTCCAGCTACAAAACATTACCAATCTCAGGTTACTGACAGGACCAAGTTCTACCAAAAAATGCAGGCACAACATGACAAATTGAACAGAAATATGAAAGCTCTAGCCTTGGGTGAATTTTAGTATTATTCTTGTATTAATTAAACGGCTTCAGGAAATTAGGGACAGAACATTTATAATGCATTCTGGGGATTTTTTTAAAGAAAAAAAAAAATCCCAAATAGATAATAAAACAAGCAAAAAAACCAAAACAAAACAAACAAAAAAAACCCCAGAAAAACCTAAGCTATTTATATGTTTCACTTTTAAGGACATAAGATTCTACGCAAACTCCCTCTTTTTAAAAAATGTACACAGAAATTCAATGATGTCTGTTCTCTATTATAGAATGCTTAACTCATGGCAAGCCTCAAAAAAGACGATTTGAAAAAGCCTGTAAGAAATAAAATAGACTGCAGTTGCCTGCTGGATATCACATCATATATCTCACCAGAAAGAATAGCCATCAGTTTATCAAAATGTATCTGGAAGGGAAGAAGTTGAGTCAGTTCCACATGGCCAGTCCTTCTGACTCTTTAATGGATACATTTTGAAGCATCATTGCAGATAACATGGCAAGAATTACTACTAATTTTGTTATGTTGGAACAATGTTTTGATGCTCCTCAATTTCTTTGGGCTCACAGAGAACAAAATTAGTATAAATGCATTACCAGGTCAACTGCACTCAAAATCCCATGGACAAATGTGTCCTTGCACAGTCCAATTTCAATACAATTAATGAAGAGTAAACAGCATTAACATACCAGTATTGTTTCATTTTTGTTTCCCTGCTCTGGTTTTCAAGCATTAACTCCCCCACACTTTATAAATCTTTATTATTTGCCACATGCCATGTTGATATTTTTGATTTTCTACTGTGTCAGTAAAGTGACTCCTACAAATATGTAAACTATTAATTAGCTAGAATCACTTTCAAGAAGTACAGCTCTCTGTGCAAATAACTTTATTTTAACCAATCAGTGATGAAATATCTTTGCTTTGCTGTTGCCAAGTCCATGGGATCTGATGCTTGGCTGTACAATTTTTATTTTATATACAGTGTATATATACATAAGGATATATATATATACACATATACACACACATATATATACATATAGTAATATATGTATACATTCACACACATATAAATATATGTATGCATTGTTTTTTGCAAATTAAATCAGAAAGCAAGCAAAAGAAGACTGACCTGACTTACCTGTACTGGGTTCACAGTCAATGAAATCTTCATCATCGCTAGAACATTCAGCGGATGAAACAATGTCATCTGTTGTCTGGCATACAAAGGTCAGGAAGAGAGGAAAAAGAATAGAAGAGAAAGATATCAGATGCTTGCACATCAAGAGGCTGTTTTAGAGGCGGCTAAGTACCCGACAAAAATGTTTCAGAATAGAAAACTTCTAAAATATTTAATATGCACCAAGAACTCCAGCTATGCCAGTGTAGCAAGGAGCTGGATTCCCCTGCTGGAGGACTCGTGCTGCTGAATATTTCAGGTGGGCGCAGGTGTGGCCTGCTGCGTGGTTCCGGCTGGCAATGGATGGCACTGTGCTGCTGAGCACAGCAGGGCAATGGGCCTGACACCTGCTTGGCTGGCACATGGCCCTGGCAGTCAGCAAAGGGCCTGACTGGAGCACGCTGCACTCCTCGATAAGCACCAGAGCCACGTGTGGCCTGCCAGAAGGCACCCACTGACAGCCAGGACAGATGAGGCATTCCCAGGCTAAGCATGCTTCCTGCAAAGGCAAACGTACAAGGTAGACACAGATAATACTCATCACCCTGGCAGCTAACAGAACTCTGCTGTGTTGTAAATGTATCACTCTCAAGCAGAGGTACTTTCTGCTCTGCTGATGCACCCCTTGGGATGGGAATCCCATTTACATTTACCCAGCTAGGACATGTTTGTTACATTGTAAATAACTGCTGCATGTTTCAGGTATGCCCACCTGACTTGTAGCCCGACCTGTCTGCCTGCCAGTGACCTGGGACCAGCCTGGCTGCGACTGATGGCTGGCGAGCCAAACCATGACTGTTCATGGCCATAACAAGTCTCATAACATTTATTTGCATTTCCAGATGGAGATATTTTTCTACTTCTTTTTTTTTTTTCTTTCTTCTTTTTCCTTTTTTTTTTTTTTTTTCCCCCTTTCATTTTTTCATGCTGCTGCTGGTCTAATTAATGAGCAGCATGCTCTGCAGCATGTTAGAGAGAAGCATACTGGTGTCTCCTGCCAGCAGCATCTCCTGCCTGTAATTGCTGCAATTAGTTGAATTTGTAAAGCAGACCATTAGGGAGAGAAGATGTGGCAGCCTCTGGACACAGGTTGTAATGTTCCTGAAAACAGCACAAAATTATCCCAGCCCATCAGTATCAGCTCAGACCACAGCTTCTGCTGGAGTTATCTCCCCTTACACTTCCTCTCTGAAGAAAGCTGCCATTCTGCTGAGCAGCAAGATTGGTGGAATGGTTCCTGGAAAAGAACAGACAAAAGGTTCCTCACCAGACAGGGAGTATGGCTTAAGTCACAGCCCCTCAGGAGCAGGGTGGCTGCACTGCAGTACATTATAACTCAGTTCTCCAGGTGAATATTCCTGAGGATCTCACATCATGAAAAGATTTTATGTCCTTACTCTAGAAAAAGACTATCTAGATTTAAATAAGGAATTCTTTCCAATCATAGGCCTACTAATGTTGCCTTCAAAATGCTGTGTATTCCCTCTTTTATTTACAAAATTTATTTTCTTCAGTCCCCTGTGGTCCTACTGCTAACAAGTTCCTCACTGTCCTGTACCACAAGTACTCCATTTCCTCTTCTTTTTAAGGAAGAAAAAAAAAAAAAAGAGGAGAAAAATGGAACTGAGCAGTCAGCCAGAATGCTCACATCCAATCTGATGTTCCTTCCCTCTTGATTTCAGTGACTTAAGAGTGAGACAAGAAATGAAACTACGATTGTTCAACAGTAAACGAAAATTACAAAAACAGACTATCTGTAAAAACTGTCATAAAATTAGGAAATCCCTATCATATGTATTGAATACTACTTGCTTGTGCACCAGCACTGCTGTACAGCAGCATTTTGTACGATGCAATCTTGCAGTAATCTCATGCTTAAATACTTCCACAGGGAGGCAAGATTAAAAGGAATTGAAGGTGACAGGTACAAAGTAATTTCCTGCCTTATGTGTTAAGATCATTTTTTGGCAACTTCCCTCAGTCACAGAAAATGGAGGAATGCTGTTGAAATTCTGGTGCTGAATTCTCTCTTAAAATGAACTGGCTTTAAAAGTTTCTCTGCTCAGTAAGAGGTCAAGAAGAGAGGAATGCACAAAATAAAAATTTACTTTCCATAATTCTGGCTCTGTCACATATGTTTTATAAAGCATTACTAATCCCAAAGAACAAAATAATTTCTAACGACAGTAACCACATCCTCCAACAGTGAAATGCAGCCATTTCTGAGTAGAAAGATATCAGTTTTTAATTGTAACACTGTAAATTACTTTAGAATCATAAGTCAACAAAACAGTATCGTAATAATAAATTTTTTTAAGGAAGTGAAATGAAGCCAGTGAAACCTCAAGCGTCTAAAACACTTGAATTAATGGGCATTAAGGACAGCACTCTGAAAAAAGAATGTACTCCATTACTACTAGAAAACCTTGCTTAGACAGTAGTAGAACTCCAGCAATGTTTTTCTGATTTCCAGGTTGTATTTAGAGCAAGTGGATTTTGCCCATAGTTGAAGATCTGACAATTCACATACAGAATTTCATTGAAGAATAGTAATGATTTGCTTGAAGTAGGAAATGAACATAAAATTTTTAACAATGTGTCATTGCCACTTACCAATTGCTATGCCTATTCACTTACCCACTTTACTTGCTCATATCTAAGGGTTTCATGCAATATTAACTAGAAATCAGATCCAATTGAATTGACAATCTGATTCAGTATTTGTAAAGAATAGAGTTCCTTTATAACTCTCTCCCCTCCTTCCCCTCTTCATTATTAGAACCATCACTTCAAAACAGAAACGTAGACATATCAGAAAAAAATGAGATTATATTTCTTCACACAATGAAAGATTTTTTTTTTAACTGAGGAACAACTTGCAACAGGACAGTGATGGGTAATAAAGGTTTAGATGCATTTTGAAAATGAGTGGTCAAATTTAGGGTAAAAATACCCATCCACAGCTACTAAACACATCACATTTCACTTGGAAAATCCCTGTAGCACAGGCATCGAAGATCAAATCAGAATTTGTAGTCTATCTAGACTTCAGCAAAGACTTTGACATTGTCTTCCTCCAGGAGAAGCTGGCAGTCCATGACCTGAACAAGAAAACTCTTTGCTGGGTAAAGAGTGGCTAGAGAGCCGGACTCGGTGGTGCTGAATGGAGTTAAATCCAGTTGGCGACTGGTCATTAATGTTGTTTCCCAGGGGTTGTTATTGAGGTCTGTCCTGTTCAATATCTTTATTGATGACCTGGATGAGGGGATTGAGTGAATCCTTAGTAAGTTTGCAGAGGATACCAAGCTGGGAGGAAGTATCAATCTGCCTTGGTGTAGGAAGGCGTGACAGAGGGATCCAAACAGGCTGGATAGCTGGGCTGAAGCCAATGAAGTTAAACAAGTCCAAGTGCTGGGTTCTGCACTTCAGCTAAAACAACCTCAGTCAATGCTACAGGCTTTGCAGAGTGGCTGAAAGATTGTGCAGAGGAAATGGACCTAGGGGTGTTGGCTGACACTTGGCTGAACATGAGCCTAGGTAGCCAAGAATGCCAATGGTATCCTGACTTGAATCAGAAATAGTGTTGCCAACAGGAGCAGGGAAGTGATCAGCCCTCAGTACTTAGAACTGGTGAGTACTCACCTTAAATACTGTGCTCAGTTTTGGGCCTCACTACAAGAAAGGACATGGAGTGTGTTCCGAGAAAGGCAATGGAGCTAGTGAGAGGTCTGAAGCACAGGTCTTATGAGGAGCAGTTGAGGGAACTAAGAGTATTTAATCTGGAGAAGAAGAGTGTCAGGGGAGACCTTATTGCTCGTCTCTATCCGAAAGGAGGTTGTGGTGAGGTGCAGGTTGGCCTCTTCTCCCATGTAACTAGCAATAGGACTAGAGGCAGTGACCTCAAGTTGTGTCAGGAGAGATTCAAATTGGATGTAAGGAAAAACAACTTCTCTGAAAGAGTGGGCTGGAAGGGGCTGCCCAGGGATGTGGTGGAGTCACCGACCCTGGAGGTGCTCAAGGAACATTTATAAGTTGCACTGAAATAAATGGTTTAGTGGGAAATATTGGTGATAGGTGGATTGTAGGACTGGATGATCTTGGAAGTCTTTTCCGAACTCAGTGATTCTATGATTCTATGAATAGAGAAGAGCACAGCCAGACTGAGACAAAATGTCAGTGCGTAATATGCACATCTACCAACTTCAACCTGTATCTGTACTTTTTTGCAACTAATTCTACACTTGATTCCACCAGTTAATCTCTGTCCTTACCTTCCCATCTACACTGCGTGCTATTTCCCCTGATATTCCAGTTTTCTTGTTCTGTTACTACTGTTTGTCCCATGTTACTGATAATGCATGTATAAATATGAGGGTTAGAAAAAGAGAAAACCCTCTAAAAGTGGAGTTAGATTTAAGGTCATTGATGAGATCTCTAGAAATCAAGGAAGAAATAAATACACTAATCTGTCTTGCCACTTCCTGTCTTGTATTTTTCATCTCTGAATTTCATCACAATTCATCAGTAACTGATTTTCCATTCTCATCACATATTGGCTTACCTTGCACAGATACCAACATCTGAATCATCCCAGCTAATAAAGCCACTTTGAGAAGCAGGAGAAAATTCCTGACCAGAGAAACAGAGATGAGGAAATTTCCAGGACCAACCTTGTCATTTCTTGTAACTGGAAACTGTACCTTTGCAAAGAGAATTTTCACTTGATGATTATTAAATTTCTTCTTCCACGAGATAGGACAAGCTAGTGAGCAACAACCCCAAAAATCTCGCCACTATCTTTTAGTCTCACCAGAAACAGTTCACTGTAAGGCCATAAGCAAAACTAGCTATTCCATTTCTGGTTTCCCCTCACAGTTTTGAAAGTGAGCTGACTAAACACATCCATTGGTCCAATGGTCGGTAAATGAATTTATTCTTTATTGTCTGTCCAGTAATCTGAAGGTGGTAAATGGTAATCATTCTTATCTACAGGCAACAAGATAGTAAAGAAAATTTCCTGTGTGCTGTGATGGAAAC